TAAGCGCCGCCCACCATCGAAGGGGCGGCCTATGCCATGAGTTAAGGGTTTTGGGGCTCAAGGTTTAGGGTTAGGGTTTAGGGCTTAGGGCTTAGGGTTGAGGGTTTGGGGTTTAGGGTTTACGCTTTAAGATTAGGGTTTAGTGTTTAGGGTTTGGGACCCGCGGAGCCCACTATCTCAACTAGAATAAAAGGATTTTGGCTCCCCTACCCCCTGAAATTAGTATAGTCATATGATAACTAAAAGGTCCTTGTTTTGGGGGTTGGGTAACCAAAACCCCTCATTAAATTAAGGAATTTACCTGAAATCGGTTTTACCTGAAATCATATAAAGGATCTTCATATCTGAATCTTGGGCTCCAGGATGTAGGAATTTGGATTTCGGCGCGTGGTGCACTTCTCGATTTGTGCATTCAGGGTTTAAGGTTTGAGGCTTCAGAATTTGGATCCCAAACCCTTCTTCAACCGATATCCCTTAAAGGGACCCCAGTCCTGGCAACACACATATTGGAATGTCTCAAAATTCCGGGCCCTAAGAGACCCTACGGAGATGCGGGGAGGATTATGAAGTGTCCCGTCCAGGTCTATGGGGTATATGTTGAGACACCTAGAAGGTCCTGAATCATCCCTACATACCCCTGACTCGCTAGGCTCCGTCCCCGAACCCTAAACCCTAGACCCCGAACTCCAGACCCTAAGGTCCACCAGCGAGGCCGCCTCGTTTCGGACAGCTTGCCAGGTACCAGCTGTGTGTCCATGTGCAGGATCCGTCCGATGGCTTGGCCGTTTGAAGGGAGGTTCCTTGTGTTCGGAGGGACTTCTGGGGACCTAAGTGGAGGCCTGGGAATTGGAGGTCCTTCGGGTTTGAACTTTCTATGTTTTAGCTTCAGGGCCTATGAAATTCCGCAGGTTAGTTCAAGGTTGGAGGAACAGAAAGCAGATTCTGACCAGGCCCATGCCAAAAAAAACACGTATGAGGAGCAGGAGGAGAAGGAATGATTAAGAAGAGGTGGATGCAGCAGTAGCAGTCATAGTGCTCAAGAGGCTACTACAATGAAAGCTGATGTCAAGATTACACTGCCATGAAAACTGCCTGTAAAAAAGAGCCGCAAACAAAGCTGCCATCCAGAATGCTAATGCATCTCATCATTCTGGTGATTGCATGCCAGTGCAGAATGGAAGGGCGATTCCTGCAATAACCCCTGTACAAGTATTTATGGTGGTTTTTGTTATTTCCCCAGTCCTTCCTCCGCCAGTTTCCATTTTTATGTTGCATGTGACTTGGCACTTGCTCTCCATTACTGCCATCACTCGCTAGTAACAACCACCGAAAAACCTCAAGCTGAGGCAGATACCAGGACAGAGGAGAGTCAAAAAGGAGGGGCTAGAACCCAAATCCTCAACCCAGTTTCCATGTTCTTTTCCATTCCCTACTGACAACCAGCAAGCCTTGTGACTCACATGCCGGGGCTCTCCGCAGCCTCCGCCGCCCTGTTCCGGGGTGGCGGTGCCCCGGCGCCAGCCAAGCCAGGGCCCTGTAGGATGCACCAGGGGTCACACAATCCAGATGACTGATTGCAAGAACGTTATCCTGCAAAAAATACTGCTGAGGCCAACCGCGAATGAAATATGAAACGATGACAGTGGTGGTCTTGAAGATGATAACCAAATAACAACATCCGAAGCAAGGTACTGATTGTGCAAGAGTAAGGGACGCTACAATAAAATGTTTGGCAGCGTATATTTGGGAGAAGACTGAATGGCCCAAAGTCTTGGAAAGAGCTGAACCAATGCAATCAGCGGAGCAGTCTCCAAGCTGACCTAGAGCTTTCAGTTGATCTGGCAGCTACAGCTCTTGATAGACGAGGACTGCCAAGGGCTTTGAGCCCTACTGCTGCCTGCTGCTTTCCACGAACAAGGAAAAAAACAGTTTGAACAACAAACACCAACATGAGTGCACAACACAACTACACAAAAATCGTCGGCAAGGCCTCGTGCTCAGGCCGTCCGCCACTGCGCCCCTCTCGATTCAACTTGCGCGCCTGGACTCCCAAGGTTTTTCGCTTGACATAACTCCCCTAACCACCCCCACCCTGCACCGTGCCTCCCACGAGGTTCTGCCTGAATTATTTTTGATCAATCCTGGATAAGCCGAACTAAAGGGGAACTCAAGGGTGGTAGTGTAGGGGAATGGTAAGGGGAGCTATATCCCCTCCGCGTGCTACCAAACCCTATTCGGCTGTTAACAAATACGCCCAACATAGTACCGTTATATCTGAGTGGAGTATTCACGATCGGGAAGGGGATTAGATAGCCTTGCAAACTGCGACTAGTTCGTCCCTTTGTTGTGTTCCCTGTAACACAAAAGTACATGTGTACATATTTAGAGAAACCCATACAAGACATCCTGCCTGCAGGTCTTCCTCTGTGCGCTGCGGGCTCTCGTTGGCTTCTGGAGCACCCAGGGATTCCTGCGTCAAGCCGATTCACGGATTTACCGGGTTGCTGTGGAAGAAATGGAATTACTATAACAAGGCTACATCTGCACATTATAGTAACTCTGTGTAAGTTTCTTAGAAGTTTGGGATTTATTCACGTCGGGCCTCCTACATCAAGACATATCAAGACGCAATTGGCTCATGGGTAGATATGAGTGAGATCCTGAGGATCACACATGGGGGTGATCAGGGCATATGGGGATAACTAGGAGAACATGAAAAATTTACTGCAGATCATGCGGGCATGTTCCGGCGCTTTCTGCCAGATTGCCGACCAACAGAGGGTTCAGAGGCTTGGAACGTGGCCTCTTGAAACCCTGTCGCCATTGCAAATGGGTAGTTCTAAGCGGGTTTCTCAATGCTCAGGATACTTTAAACCACAGCAACTATCATCTGTTGGGGATGACATCCGGGCCCTGTGCTTATGGAATCCCCGACTTCTGTAAGTACAAACTATGTTGATAGACTCCAATTTTGCCCACTGCCAGCGCGTCTCAGAAGTGCCATCTCGTTTTTTCAGAACTTGAATCTTTATGGCTTGTTTTCCCCATGTAAGTTGTATGATCCATCAACGCGCAGGCCCTGGAAAACTGTTGCCCCCGTTTTCCCTCCTCTCGATGAACCATTCCAAAAGCTTTCGCGTAACAACTTTCGAAGGCTGCAAAAACTACCTGCTCTTAGACTAGCTTCCCATTGCCTTAAAGCTAGGTATCAGGGCTCTCACTGCCAAAAGGTCCTGTAGTCGTACATCTCTCTCTCTGAGAAAAACATTTGTCTGATATTTGTCCGCTAGAACAATGGGAAATCTTGAAATTCATCATGTACTACATAATACTGAATAACGTCCCTGTCATCTTCCGTTATCATTTCGAAGCCTCACACGCTGGTTCTGGTTCGTCTGGCAGCTCGCGAACCATTTTGATGTCCTGCAAGACGAGTTGTGAAACTGCGTTTTCCACCGTCCGCACATAGTCGTAACTTCTAGTTTGCATTGCACAGCCTTCCGTTGTTTGCTGGTGATTGAGCGGGGGTGGCGAAATGAATCTACCTCTTGCTGTTGGGGTGGGCATATATGCGGACTTAAAGCAAAAGTCAGTCAAAAGACATGCAAGGGGTTGCAAGTCGGTCCCTGGATTTTGAGGTTCTGACATCCTCCATTCTTTGCATAATGCACTACGCTACAGCAGTGGGCGTTGAAAAAGTGACCTGAGCTTGAGCTTACGGCTTGCGGTAGACAAGCTCTCGCAAACAAGTCTAAAACCATTCCTAACTGACCAAAGGCCGTCAGTATGACATTCTGAAGGTTCACAAGCTTGGAGCATTAACCGGTCCACGTTTTGGTTGCATACTTTTTCAGCAAAGCCCCTCCTGCAGGGACTGCAAGAACAAAGTGCCTATGACTGTCCGTCTTTGCAAGGCCCCTCGACACACATAATGTGGCGGGGGTTCCATAAGTAGGAACCCTCAAACAAACCCAAATGTAGAACACTGATTTCTGGGGGTAGCCCCACAAAGGGAACCCACATTATTGGAAACCTTGATCCCTCTGAACCACTCTATAACCCCAGCCCCCATTTCATTTCCAATCTTCTTTCCTTTTGATTCTCGATCATTGGGGATACATCACGGATACATCTCCCCACCCTCTATATATACCCATATCTGCCCACCAGCCCTCCATGGCAGACTCCTTGGAGCAAATGGTCCCCAATCCACCTTGTCCCAGCAGAGGAGGAAAGTCCACAGCATCCTGGGGAGCAGGGCCAAACAATGCCAAATACACCAATAGGGGTTCTAGGGATTATATTGGGATTAAATAGGGATTATATAGGGGTTATAATCTTCTGGAAATTCTGTGTGGGTTTTTGAATTTTTTCTTTGTGGGCTTCGGGTCCCGAAATGTCCTGACCTTATAGACCCTCAAAAAACACTGCATTCAAAAGGTCTCCGTATCTCCCTCAGACCGCAAGAGGGTCTTTCAAACACGTACCTCCACGTGAGGGGCCGCGTCGGTTTCATCTACCTCGTCAGCCTCCCGCTGACTCTTGAAGCTTGGGCCGGATTCCTCTCAGGTGAGAGTGAGTCGGAGTAGGGACTTAGGGCATCATAAGGGTTATATTGGGATAATGGCAAACAAAATGGAAACTACTATTTCAAGGTAATATAGGGTTTATATAGGGATTAAAAAGGGTTTGTAAAGGGGTTATATAGGGTTATATTGGGATAATGGAAAAGAAAATGGAAACGACTATAGTAGGGACTTAGGGGACCCCTTAGGCTTCAGGATCGTACAGTCGCCGCCGGCAAAAGCGCAAGAAATCCTTATGTCGGCTTCAAGGATTTATATTGGGTTGTTGTTGGGATCTGCTCGGATGAGTCACACGTGCATTCCAAATGCGTCAGTCACTTGAATGAAGCTCTTGGATGGGTGATTCTGCACTACAAGTAGATTGTATTCGTTGGGTCATTCCCTCTTACAGAAACAGCTACCACAATCAACACAAGGAGTTACGACAGCCTCTTCATAGGACCTCTTCAGTACTGTAAACACTGCATCCTAAAGATCCCTCTCAACTTAAACCCTAAACCCTAAATCACACCCCTTTAGGGACAGCATATTCTAATCATAGGGTCATAGGCTTGATAATGGCCCCCCAGCAAACCCAAAGCCCCCAATAGGCCCACATCAATGCCATGATGTAAGGGCCCAATGTATTCGTGAAAGCTGCTCGACGCTGAAGGCCCGTTCTGGGTTTGAGGCTTCGGTATTCATGCTCATGTACATACATGGGTTCAGGGTTTAGGGTTTCAGGGTTTTGGGTTTAAGGTTCGGAGTTCAAGGTTTAGAGTTTACAGTTTTGGATTAGGTTTCGGGTTCAGGGTTTAGAGTTCAGGGTTCCTGAGTTCATGTTCATGTGATAGTTTCCCTGAATAAATGAAGCCCGATGTAGACCCCGAAACACTCTACTCCCCTATTTAACAGGGACCCCAGAATGGTACCCCTATGTTTAGGAAACACCCTTTTAAATACCTGGGGCTAAGGCTTTGCCACTGGGGTTGAGGGTATCTTCAACTCGTGACTGGAAATTCTGCTGCTAGCAGTGCTACACTTCATGCTGGCATTGTCAAAAGAAGTTGAACATTGCGGAAACACTTTGTCCACAAAGCCCCGCGCCTCAACAAGGCGCCTAGGAGGGATGTGACCAGTTGGTTGTTTTAACTACAGGGAGCGTCAACCAGAGATCTACGCATGAGGGCTTCCCAATATTCAGCATGGAGTCCCCATAAATATGTCAGTGTAGGGATTATCGGGCGCCCTTATAAGGATGACTTTGACACATTCTGACAAACATCCAAATGTGGTAGGTTGTCAACATGAAGGTCCCTTCTTGAATCCCTAGTATCCTAAGACTAAGGGTACACCCAACAAAAGCCATATGACTTTACAAAAATGAGCGTCTCAAGTTGACTCGTCCTGACAACAACGATAACAGTTCTAGGTTCCCTTATACACCAACCCTCCTCTACCACACCCACCTAGCTTCCACGCTAATTGGCCTTATGCACAATGTTCAAAGCTACTTGAGGCGGAGTCTTGGGGGGTAGTCTAGGTGTGGCAGTTTAGAGAATCCATAGAAACGATATCACTTTTACAACTGGACTGTGAAAAAAGTCACTGACAGACAAACCCCCTGCCATTAGCCTCCCCCACCCTGCAAATAGGAATCAGCATCCGACAAATGACACAAACAATCAAAAAACTCACTGCTATGCTAGTGTTGACCACTATTTTGGGGCTTCCAAACCCAGGGGACCTCAGCCCTACACCCTGAACCCTAAGTAGTAGTTTCCATTCTATTTTCCATTATCCCTACATAAACCCTATAAATAACCCTAATATTACCCCAATTTAACCCCAAGGACTATCTTGAGAAACTGCCATTTCGCCGGCCATGGGCCTGCTGCGGATCCGGCTTCTCCACACCGATTCGAGCTAACAGTGAGCGCTGCAGCTGGTCGAGCTCCGCAATCCTCCCGCAGCTCCCAAAAGGTTTAGGGTTTAGGGTCTCAACTCCCTCCAGGGTGTTATATAGCGGTTATATTGGGGAGTATTCTAGGGGTTATTAATGGGGATGCTACGAGTTGAGCTTATAGCTCATATGGAAACTTCCAAGAACATCCCAAAACCATGATGGAGCTTGAGGAGGTATGCTCAAGTTTGGAGATACTTCCCCAAAAGGCAAAGAGCACCCGCTGAGATTTGACCAAAGCTTTGATGGGCCAGGGCCAGAACCACCGGAGGGTCAGGGGGACTTGCGATATAGGTTTGTAACCCCTGCAACCCATGTAGTGACCCCAGTTATCCCTCTTACTAACCTAGGTACTAGAAGCCCCCCCGGACCCTCCAGTATGTAGCACCCGAATCTGGATAAAAGGCCGAAACCCTCAGAGCAAGGAAGGGCCCTTCAAGTGTTTCGTGTGTGTCTCTTTTTAATTATTTATAGCAGCTTGTGAAGACAGTCTGGCTTGGTTTCCCGAAATTGTACGTTCCCATCATGAGGGTACGTTGTGACAAAAGGGCTTTTCCATAAACCCTCATACCATGATCAGAAGGGTTAATGGGGACCCATCATTACAAGGGTCATACTAGGGGTGATATGGAGGTTCTAGGGTTACATATTCTTGTTTGTAAATATATATAGGCTCTAGCTCAACCCTACGGCAACCCCCTAATTATGTTCATCGCTATGCTTCTCATCTAGAAAATCAAAGCACATGAAAAAACATGGACATAAAAATGGAAACTCCTCGTATCCACCAAAAATACAATTATTCGGGCTGGATAGGGTGCTGCAAGACTTCCTGCCTGCAGGCCAGTCATAGCTACCCATGAACCTCCAAGCGGGAAAGGAAACCCCTGGCTCTCCAGCTCCTTTGTGCCAAATCTCCCCGGAGCTGCGCTGCTGGGGGGAGTATCTCCTCTGCCTTGTGAAGCTGAACACTATCGGTCCCTGTAAAAAACAGTATGAAACGAGAATGATCTTGGTTCTTCATGTTTTACGGCAAGAACCCAAAGATATGGATCATTTTCTCAATCCCAACTCCACATGGAGAAAACATGCTTGAAACAACAAGTGCCACCTGAAATCGAGAACTCTGAACTTGTCTCCTCTTAGGCAAGTACTGTACCCTCTCTCACAAGAAGGACCCTCTAATACTCTAAACCACTTCCTTAAGATTTAGGTTGGATTGCAAGATGAATTAGGGCTTGCGCAGTGCGTGGTGCTTGATACACCAAGGACCACTGACCTCTGATAAGTAGCTGCGGCCGAAAGAAACCGAATATTCAAGGTGCTATTCTGCAGCATAAAAACTGTTGATGAAATGCTGTGGGCTCTGAAAATTATCAGTATCAATGTGAAATCTATTGGAGGCCCCCTATACCATACTGATACAAGAAACCTAAACCATGATATGGCTAATTTATCACTATCAGCCCCTATATGACCCCACTTTCCATTTCATTTTCCATGTTTTCTTCCATTTGAGTCTCTATTAGCCCTAAACGCTACAGTATTGGTATTCATGTAAACCTTCACGGTAATCCCCTCCCCCCGACTTTGAAATCCCCCACTCCCGAAGTGCCTATGTAACATAGCATGCCATAACGGAAATATCCTAGGGTTGGGGCGGGGGTTAAAATTCTGGGAGGAAAGTACTGTCACCAAGGAGCAAGGAATAGCGGCAATTGCATAGGAGGGCCAGTGCACCTGGGGGACTCGACCTTGGACTCTAGCGCGCGACGGTTAATCTCTCTGGTGCTTAGGAGGGAATGGGGGAATGGACTATGGGGATTATTATTGGGGATTCTAGGGACTACAAAAGGGATCCATTCCTCCATTCCCTACTGAGCAAAAGGGAGTAATTCCATCCACCCGATAAGAGTGTAGGATCTATTCGGTTCAGGGTTCAGGCTTACGGTTTAGAGCAGGAATACTGTAAACTTTCAATCCAACTGACAATAAATGTGCTCAAGGTAGTTTTATGACACAAGGGAATCTTGATTTCTAACTAGGGGGCTTGATGGGTCTCTTAGGAAAGGGCATGATTTCGCTACTGACGACCACCTCACGCAATAACAAGAAGAATACTGTAACGGTGACTGTGTTCACAACAAAATGAGAACAAAAAGAAGCACAACAATGATAGCAACAATGAACTTTGGGGAAGCCCCAAACTTCAGCGCCGTGTCACACCAAGCCTTTGGGGCTTGACCCTAAAGAGATCCGTGTACTTACTGGCACTTCAGGGCAAGCGGTTATTTAGAGACAGAAGGGGCTACTGGGTACATAGAGATATGTATGAGCTATTGGGATTGGGGCTATTGGGGCCGTATAGGGGTATAAAGAGGAATGCAAAAGGAGATCGGAAACTGCCTTTCTGGTTTGAGGCTTCAGTGGGAGTGGCGGCCGGAAGGAAGGTGCCACTACCACTCATCATAGTAATAATGATACTACTAATACTCATACTACTACTACTACTACTACTGTAAACCCTAAACCCTAAACCCTACTAATACTAGTAGGTATTCTTCCAAGTGATCATATGAGGCTGACTGCAGGAATCAACTCCCCCACTCTTCTGAAGCACTAGTACGTTTACCCAAACTTAAGGGTACCATGTGGCCGGGGTTCAAAGGGCGCTATATACGGGTATAATGGGATATTTAGGGTTCTGGGCTTTACTGAAAGAACTCTGCTCAAGCTGGATTTTGCTAATCCTATGTTGTCACACACTCCGGGTGCTCGCAGAAAGTGTCTTGCGCCTTGAAGTTCCTGATAGTCTCAAGCCTCGGTGTCCTGATGCCACACCTCCCCAACTTCCAGAACCCATCCCTGACAAGTGCGTGGCCTACTACAAGTCTTGATAAACCGCTGCCAAAAAACCAGGACCCTACTCGAAGCAGGGGAATCAAAGGTTAGAAGTATGGGCCCTAATATAGTAAGTATATAAAGATTTTAGGGTTAAGGGCCCATACTAGGGGCCCATGGTTTCAACCTTACAGCGGCCCAAGTTCATAGATCCTTGGACCGCTTTTTTGGACCCTAGTGAGGAGGATTGAGCCCTCGGAATCCTAAAACTTTAGGGTTTAAGGTTCAGGCTATAGCCTGAACTCCTTCAGGGGGGTTATGTAAAGGATTGTATAGGGGATTATAGGGGTTATCAAGGGGTATGCTAGGAGTTTAGGCTCTAGCTCACATAAATACATACACATATATATTTGTCTTTTCACGTGGAAGCTAAGCCCTAGGTAAGCCCAAACCCCAAGCCCTAGATAGTAGCTTCAATCTTCTATTTCACATCATTACCCTAGCCCCTATGTATCTCTTAAACTGATCCCAAATCCGAAGAGCGGGGGCAACCTCAGCCGGTGAAGCTTCGCGTTCGCGGATCGGAGATGCTGCACGTGGCTCGCGAAGGGCTTCCACCTCGCAATTCCCGGACGTCAGGGCAACAGGGCTCGCAATGCAAATAGGACTGCTAGCAGTACTTGGGGCTTCAGGGTGTACAATCATTACCTACGTATAAGTGTACTTTCAATACCAGTATCTTGGTCTCCAATTCGAGTATCATTGGTTTGCAACTACGCATGTAGCTGGGTTATATCTATCCTGAACTCGAACCCTATATAGCCCTTTGACATTGCGCTAGTTCTAAGTGGCCCTTCGTTGGGGCATAAGGTTTAACGGCTGCAGCTTTCAGCAATAGAAAGCGGTAATTCCTTAGGAAGAAAGCAATGCAAGAATCATTCTTGCGGCATCAATCATCTGCAGCATGTTCGAAAGTGGTACTACGGTTGATGATGCGATCCTGCATAACCTGAGCCCATGAAGTCAACTTTCTGCCTGCTCGACGGACACCCCTCGCTCCGGCGGCTCCAGTTTCGTCAGGGATGAAGATACGCCTGCGGCCTGCATCTGCTAGAGTTACGAAGGTGATCCGGACTCAGGGGTTACTCTGAGGTCCACGGTTGAGGGCTAGGTCCAAATGAAATATGCTGCGGACTTTGGGTCTTCCAAGTTCGCTTATGGTGCAAAGCAGGCGAAGGCTTCCATGACTGAATCAAGGTTAGCACAGCTAGGACAGCCTTCTGGGAGGACTGTGCTACTTTTGGATCACATGGAGGCAATTGGAGGAACATCAGCAAGGTACTCTCGGCGTGGCCTTTAGCCGGTCCAGCCGCATCGAGGCGTCAGCTTCAGCATGTTCCGTTGAAGCCGGACGAAACGGTCTTCGGGTAGGCGAGTCCTCAAGGTCAGAGAATAGCTGCAGCTGTCACATGTAGCGAGCTGAATGTGTCCGCACACACCAGCTTTTCGCGAAACAAGGAAACTGAGACTGAGACTACATCTGCAGCCATTTTTGTGTGCGCCGGGCATGCTCTCAAATCACCGCATTTGCAGTGAAATTATGTCGATGAGTCAATGCTGCACAGACAACCAACGTGGCAGCTAGTCTTGCTTGCCAGGCCAGATGAACCATCTCATCAGCCGCAACAACGGACCTAGCTTGGGTGTATTGGGGCGCGTCAAGTTTAGAATGACCTCAGGCAAAAGCACGCGTCGTGAGAATTTGCGCCCTACTCGGCGCCAGAACTTCACCATGAGACGCAAGGTGCCCTCGGAGATCGTTGAGGTTTGCTGCACAGTTTTCACGCCTGTCGTGAAAAGCTCGACCTCACTCGGCAGTGCACCCTGGCTACCATCCGCCTCTGCCGTGAGGCGGGTCAGTGGCAGATAGCCCGCACCCAGCTCGGCCACTGCCTCAAGGTCTGTCCTCCAACGTATAGCCGCAAGGACTTCCACAAAACGGGCCCAGCCACCGCCAAACATCCGCTCTTCCCTGGGCATCCGAAGAAATTCCGCTTTGTAGATGTCCTGAGCTGCATGGATGGACTCCGTGTGACAATACCACAACTTTCTCTGCACCTGATCCAGCTGACGCTCTGTAAGGGGTTTGCCTTCTTGGCTCTGCGCCATTTCCTTGAGGTCCTGCCAGAACCTCAGCCATGCCGAAGTGGCGGCACCCAACTCCGGCGGCGGAGCCTGCAGCTGCGCTGGCTCCAGGAGCCCCGCATCTACAGCTGCAAGGAAAGGGATCACAGAGAGCGTGTAGTTCACGCAGCCCCACCAACTGTCAGGGGAGATCGCTCGCCCCTCGCCAAGGCGCCCGCTGCGCCACTGCCAGTCCAACTGCACAGCGTAAGCCCACAGAAAATGTCGCGTGGGACAGCCATGCAGCTGAGGGCCTGGGAAAAGCCCACGCAATGCATCTATCGTGATAAGGCGGTGGTAAATGGCCTGCCGCCCGAAGATGTCCTCTGCCACCAAAGGCTCAGCAGCCAGCGAGGACCAGTACTCTGCTAGAGGCATCTGTGACCAAGTCTCCTCATTCGGCGTCCAACCCCCAGCTCTCCACGCTGGCCAGTTTACTTGGGATGTGGTAACTTGCGCAGAAACGGATCTTCGGCAGAGCGAAAGCGTGCCAACTCTGCATCCCTTGAGCTTCCTTAAGCTTGTTTTTGAAGCATGGGCGCTGGTAATGCCAGCACACGTGACAATTGCAAGGGAGCTAATCCTCTGATCGAACACTCGCTGAGATCCCTCGGGTGGGCTCAAAAGTCTGGCAAAGCGAGGACCTATGCCGTGGACGCCGTGGACGACACGCCCACACCCTGCCCGTAGGCCGTTGGTGCCGCAGTGGCCCAATGATATCATGACCAAATGGTGTTGCTACCGAGCATGAGCCGTGGGTAACTGCAGGCATCATCGCATACGGACACAAGACTGAATCCAAAGAGATGGCAAAGAAGATGGTCGCAAGAACACTGGTCATATCAACTTGTGACACTTGTGGACGTATGACAAAGCTGATCAGTCCAAGGCCATCAGTGCCCTTTCTCTTTTGCACTTAATCCTCCATGGTTCGTACATAAGCCCTAAACCCTAACCAATACAAACCGACACACCTTAGTCCGTAAATCCAATCACTAAACCCGTAAACCCTGAATATTCAATTATTTGGACCCTACAGTGCCTCTACCAGGTCGGCAGTCTTTGCCGACAAGGACTCAATGGACAGCTCCTGGCCAGGGCATGGCCAATCACAAGGTGTACCGTCTTTTTGGTGGTTGAACTAAGTAAGACTGGACTTTTTTTTGTAAAGTACCATACCAAGATTGAAGATGTCATCTTGCTATGTTGGGGGCTATAGAACCCTTAAATCAGCCAAGGCCAGCATTTCCCCACGTAATGAATTGAAATGGGTTCATATTAGGGCATATATTAGGAAATTTACTAAACTACCAAGGGACATGTACGTCTACTAGCACAGCCTCTCACCATTACTATTATTGCTAGTGTTGCGACCATTGTTCCCATCACAATTATTACTATTCTCATTATGATTATGAATAATACTATTGTTGCTTCGGTTCCTTTTCTTGATAATCAGACACTTCTTACTATTCTTATTATTGAATGTCATAATTACAACTACTTCATTCCAATGCCTGGGGTTGGCGGCTCAGGACCGACGATGTCTGCAGAGAAACCGATCTGCGGGAAGGTGAGTCCTCCTGATGACTTGGTAGTTGTAAGTGGGGAATGGAGAAATGGACAAGAAAATGGAAACTGAGGTAGGGTGTAAGGTCTAGAGATCAGGGCTTAGGGTTTAGGATTGTTAGTGGCGACTGGAGAAATAGCCACCTAGACTGTCCCGAAATAATCTCCATGAAATACCAAGGTGTCCATCTTCCGCTCTGTCATTCCCTACTAACAACCGACAATACACAAGCACAGGGGTCTCCCAAGATTCTGGGTACCATGCTATCTGGTAAATACGTTCCCTGTGGGTTTTCATTTGTGCCCCCCCTTCTTGACACCCAACATGTAAAATCAACAATGTTCAAGAGAGCTGACTGTAGGACCCCTGAGAACGGTTTTACCTTTTGCCTCCCTACTCTAGTCTGAAGCCAGCCAGGAACATGAAAACCAGGATGGGCCTAAAAAAAAAAAAGAAAAAAAAAAACACTATATGATACCACTTCACTCATCTGAAATGTAAACAAATAAGGAAGCCTATGGTTGTAGGATGCGCTGAACCAGAATGCTATCGCTCCCTGTGAGCTCAGACTGATGCTGAGTTTCTAGAACAAGAGGAGCTTGGGGCCTCGGGACATCTGGGGTTCATGCCGGGCCTGTATTAGCGATTATGTAAAAAAATTGAGAAACTCACCAAGTTGTTCCCAACGGCTCAAATTGCAAACTCAAACTCGCACGTATTGTCAAAGGCGAAAGAAATCCAACCGTCCGGCAGCAGGGTAAGCATTGGACAGTGGCTGCCTGTAGCTGTCTGCAGGAGGAGAAACATGGTCTTTGAGCCTTACAACAACAAGGCCCCTAACCCTACAAGCCTGGAAGGGCTCAGATCGTTGAAGACTTAAAGTCATGACCCTTTAGTAAGTTGTCACTTTGGTGTCTGCCAATGGCGTCTTCAGCAATCCCACCAGTCTATTCTTGACACCAACTATGTGGAATGCAAATGGTGACCGAGCCAAGGGCAATGATTTAAGGTGCTAAAACCTCACAAGGGCCCTACATTTCTCCCTGCAAAGTCCTGCAGAGTGCTCCTTGGCTTAAAAAACTCGTCTGGGTTTCAATCAAAGTTGGGGTCTCCCACATATTCCCGCCATCAAAGTTCATTATGAGTGCAAGCAGAACCCATAGTTCTGAGAGACCCCTATGCACTCTCTTGCAAAACGTCCGTCTCGAGTGCTGCACGCTTAGCAGGCGATCTGGGGCTGGACTTCACCGACTCCTGTCGATGTCCAGCTGCTTAGCATCCAAGAAAAGACAAAGTCTCCCTAACTTGGCTGACTCGTCCCTGTAGGATTTCGCAGCATACTTCTTCAATAGTTGCAGCAAGGAAGTATCTTGCACAAGATCCATATGTCCAACATATATCCGCAACCCAACCCAAATTATACTGATGGTAACGTTGGACCTGCTTTAGTAAAGAGGCTTCTATGATGTGTTTCGGCCCCCCTGTAGAGAGGATCAGGCCAATGATATCCAATGATGGAAGGCCCTTTACAATGCGCTTCGGCTTCGGGATCCCAATCGTGGAGCCCAAGATGGGTTTAGGGTTTAGGGTACCCAACTTTGGCATTTTCCATCAGCCCCCGAGAGGGGTGGGCTGAAAACGACGATCAGTTGCCTTTGTGCACGCAAGAGTCTCCATCCCTTGGTTACCCTAATAATAATAACAATAACAACAATAATAGTAGTTGCCATTTTCGTTTCCATTATCCCTATATAACACCTATATAACCCCAATATGTATATATGTACCTATAGTTCTTTTGTAGCTTCCATTTTCTTCTCCATTATCCCTATATAACCCTATATTGCTCTAAGAGAACACAATGCTTGAGAAACTTCCAGCTCAATTCCCTGAAGCTCGGAACGAGATACCGATTGTCCTGTCACAGCTGGCCAAGCAACCAGGTTTCTAGTAGATATAGAGAGGTATATACATAGGGATGATGGAGAAGAAAATTGAAACTGCTATAGCATAGGGCCTATAGGCTTAAGGATTCAGAGAAGCCGGCAAAGCTTTGTGGCATTCCTAAAATCTACAATGGATAACTCAACAGGTCCAGCCGACCCAATGCTCCTGCAAGCACCTTCGCGGGCGCTTGCCAGAGTGTACCCTAGACCCTGGACCCTTACACCAGAGTTTTGAAGCTAAATGCAGGACTCCAGTTTTGCGACGTCTCAACACGAATGTCCCCAAAGAAGCCCTGAAGGCACGAGAGATATGTCACAGATCTACCAGCCACTCCCAGACCCAAGCATTCTGCGCCTGATGCGTCGGTGAACCCATGGCTGGCAAGCCCTCCGATGCCAAAAAAGCTACGACTGAAGGGAGGGATTGAAGGGAGGTAAGAGGAGTTGGGATTTAGGGTTTTGGGGGGCTATCGCTTGGGCTTTTGTTAAGGGCTTCGTATATGGAATGCTGGGGTTTACCGTTCGGCTCGGTTTAAGGCTTGCTTACTGGTGTTTAAGGGCGAGCGCAGGAGTGACTATAAAGACTATCATAAGGGTATGTATAGGGAATATATAGAGACCTAGGGATTATTGTAAAGTTCCACTCACTCCTTCACTCCTACGCTCTCGCCTAAGCACAGGAAAAAAGCTCAGGTTATTAGCTCTGCTCGCTGGCTGGGCTAGTTCAAAACTAAGACCCTGCATCATGAGAGATGACTCACGATAGGTCTTCTACTATTCCGGATCAAATCAACATCAGATCAACCACCACATTTTCTGAACAGGGACACGCATAATCAAATTATGACCACCAGGCATCCCTTGGGTCTCTCTTTGAACATAAAAACATCTGGCTCTGAAACTGTTGCTGGCAGACAGCCTGCACTGGACGCTTTGAATAATCACAATGTTGGCTTCACCTTCAACCCGCATGCTTCAATTACTAGGGCTCCAAGGCTGAAATACGCATAACATGAAACCGCCACATGGTAGTTTCCCAAAATAAGTGGACCCCAATATAGACCCCCAAGTACTATAATCCTTTTATTGGGACCTCCAGAAGGTATCCCTAACTTTGGGAAACCCCCCACGTCAAACTGAGAGGAGACAAGGCTCCTCGCGCCATTCGTCAGACTGCTCTTGCTCCTCCTTCACTGGGTGTCCTGGGTCTCCTGGACCTGTCGAACTGGATGAGTCATTACTCTTGTTGTGGTTTATACTGCTGCCTTTTGGCTTGGCTATGGGAATCTAAATACGTCTCTGTTCGTGGCCGTTTCTGCTACTTCTTTCAGCTCCAACCCCAGGACCCCCTTGAAGGATAAAAACTGGAACCCTGCCAAACTGACTCCATTAATACATTGGGGAACTTTTGGGATTATTGCCAGGCTCCATGCTTTAGATCCTTTCGGAGTCAATTCGAAAGCCTACACCACATCATAAAGTCTTTTCCATTTTCTTGCTATATAACCCCTGTTAAACCGTTTAAAGGACCTGCCCCGTTCTCCTTGAGGAGGTATGGGCAATGCTTCCCCATGTGTGGACAAAAGCCTGGAAGCGTATACTAAAGTATACTATGAGGGGATCATGAGGTTTTAGCCTGAAACCTGAACCCCATGTGGGGACTACAAGGCGTTTACGGGGCTCCTAATGACTCCTCACGCTGGAATAGACACTCAAGAAACTCTTGTTTTGAAGAGGTTCCCTGGTTTTTCTGACACTGCGCCCACGGACCTTGAAGTGCTGTACGTACTGTCCCTGTGATGGGGATATCGGAAAGCAGGAGTCCATGATTCAAGGATTTCTGCATTCATTCTCATAAAATG